CTCTCTCTCTCTCTCTCCTCACACACCTCCTCTCCGGAACCATCCACGCCGAGCTTCACGCGCCGCTCCCCCCAACCATAGCACGCCCACACCTTCCGTTACCGATTAATCCAGATTTATCCCATGAGGAGGAGGAGGTGGAGGAAGAGCAGAGTGGAACCTCATTGAATCATTGAGAGAAAAAGGGAAGAAGCAGCAAAAATAATCCAAATGCAGATCTACTTTTTTAAATTCAAATTAAGAAGAAAACATCCTTTTTATAATATTCCCTAACCCGTATATTCCCAATATTCCCATAATGTATTGGTGATCAATGGTGAGTTTAAGTAATCTTAATCTCTGTCTTCCAGTCTCTAATGCTGCATTCATGGTCACATAAGGCTGGGTTGGGCCCCTGCTGATCCACACCTACCACCCTCTGTGCAGTGTGTATTTACCCTGTGGACTCCAAGTTCCCTTAAAGTCCAGTCCCTGTACTCCTTTACTGGAATGATAATTAAAGATTCCTCCTCCAGACATGTTTGTTTGAGATGTCTCCTACTTCACTCCCAACAGCCGTTCTTAGTCCTGAGTCATGCCGGTACGTTCCACGTTTCAAATTAAGATCTGAGGTCGAGCCCAGAGAAACGTTCCCCTTATCAGATGAATGTGAAATCAGCCTTTCAATGTCAAACTGTGCGCATACATCAAAGTCAAACAGGAAAAACTCCTTTTTTTAGTGGAGGGGAACTTTAATTTGTGTTAGTTTGTTGTCATTTAATTGAATTAAACTTTAGGATTATGAAGCATGTGAGCACAAAACAAACTCAAAGCTCTGGACACTTAGATTTTGACACAAGACATGACCACAAAAGTCTCCAAAATATGCACAGTCCACTTGAGTTCATATTGTATTTCAGTGGTGTACGTTCCCTAACAAATGTAAAAAATAATTATATCACTAAAACCAATTGACCTGCAGCTCTTTGGGGCCCCTCGAGGTCTGGAGCCCCGGAGGCAGTTGATTGCCTTGTCTCGCCTAATTCAGTCCTTCAATTCTTCGCTTGGACGCAATATTTGTATTGTCAACATCTTGGCGTTCCATTGTGCCGGCTCTGCCATGATTACACTGGTTTTGACAGCAGCTTTCAACACCAAACACACACACACACACACACACACACACACACACGCACAGAGTGATTATTACTAGGTCAGTCGGTTGCAGTCTTTGCCAAAGATCCTTGGCCTCCGGCTGACCTAATCTGTCTTTAAGTGTACAGATGGAGACAGGTGTGACACATATATACACACACACACATGCACACACACTTAAATATACGCCGTCTTAGGAGAACACAGATGGATGCAGGCATTGCATTAAGATGTAACACACAGTCTAATAATTACAAAGGCTCACCTCAAGCAACCCAGGCCTTAAACTCACGAGCACACAGTCATACGCAGTTGCTGACGAGATCTTTCTTAAGATTGCCTCTTGGCTTAAACCCGACTGACGTGTGTGTGTGTGTGTCTCTGTGTGCATTTCCTGTTTTTCGGAGTTGTGACATCATATCCGGGTGACTATATTTTACATGGGAGACCAATTTTCCCACAGACATCTGTTGTGTCCCACGGATAGCCAGTTTGTGTGTGTGTGTGTGCATCCGTCTGCCTTCGTGAGAGCGCTCACTGTCCATCTGTCTGTGTGTGGGCTCAAAAATAGTGAATCTCCGCTGCCAAAAACTTGTTCTCGCCAGCCCTCGCCCCTTGAAAAATGCGTGTGAGAGTGTGTGTGGCGGAAAAGCGTTGTGTTCTTGAGGATCATGTTTAACTCATGGAATGAATCAGTGTTTTGTGCCTGACAAAGCCCCCCATAGAGAGACGAAGAAAGAGAGAAGGAGCAAGAAAGAGGAAAAAATAGCCCGAGTGAGGCGGATTGAGGGAGAGTGTGGAATGTGAGAGGCAATTTGACACAGGAAGTGGGTCCTTCTTACTCTCCTGGAGGACAAAGTCCCTTCACAGACACACACACACACACACACGAGCTAGCAGGTAGAAAACACTCCTGGTGTGCAGGTATTTCAGGTGTGTGTGTGAAAGGATGGGTGAGGGGTTGGGGGGTCACCTTCCAATGGACAGAGGAAATGAAAAGGCTCACGGTTCATATCCGGAGCTGTATTCAGATGGCCGACGTCTGGAGCTGAGCGCGGACAGAGAGAAAGAATAATGAGGGCCTTCAGTGAGGAAAAAAAACATCTACTCCCCCTTTTCCTCACCCCGTCTCCTCCCCTTGGCTATTTATGTGTGTGTGTTGGATGTGTACACATGCTGCTCACTCATATCTGAAAGCAATTTCTTATCACATAGGAGGGACTGGCTTGGCAGATGTGCCGCATTTGAGTGAAATTAGTTTTCCTTTCTGTGGAGGAAGTTTTAGTGTTTGATTCAAGTCGGAAAGGAATGGAATTTCCCATTTGCTATTAGACTGATAACGGCGTGTGAGAACCAAGAAACCTGCCGTCACAATACCTGTTATTGCTGTGGGTCCTCCCTCTGAGCTCAAAGAACAATGGGAGAGTTTGCAGAAAAACCATTAACTAAAAAAACCCAAATGCTCGGCCCTGAATAGAAAATGATCTATTCAGAAAACTGGAAGATTTTTCTACATTATTCTTATTAATAAACTTGTGCAACATGCTTTTTTCTAATAAAGAACATAAGTAAAAATACTATTTCCTGAATATATAGTTATGTCAACCTAGCAGATAAAGTGTATTGGCCTTAGTGTCCTCCAACAATGTCCACCAACACTTACAATATTTCTTATTTAAGGATTAATCCATGCTTTTGTAGTTCATTATGTAATTCGTTATATTCTTGCCACGGCAGCTCGTTGCTCGTTTGCAGAATGTTTGAAATGCTGAAGCCTCGGAGCTTATTACTCTAATAAGTGTTGGCCTGTCTCCATTGGATACCAGTGGAGCTTTAACGGACCAGTATGTAGGATTTAGTGGCATCTA